GTGCCCGTTGCCCCTTGTCCTGTCGCTGGGCACCACTGGACAGAGCTTGGCCCCGTCCTCCTGACCCCCCCCTGCAGATATTTATAAGTTTACATTAGGTCCCCACTGCAGGCGCTTCCCAAGCAGCTGCCTGCCACAACCCCACCAAATCTACGGTGCCTGGAAGGGCTGGGGGGAAACCAAAGCTTTAAGCTGTGGCAGCCTGTTGTATTTTGCAGCGTCGAGAGCTGAGCAGCACTGCAGGCTCTTCCCAAGCAGCTGCCTGCCACAACCCCACCAAATCTACGGTGCCTGGAAGGGCTGGGGGGAAACCAAAGCTTTAAGCTGTGGCAGCCTGTTGTATTTTGCAGCGTCGAGAGCTGAGCAGCGCAGATGTACCTGTGAAAACCACGCAAACAAAGGCAGCACCACGCAGCCCCTCCGCTCCGCTGCCTGGCTCGCCCTGAAGACGGCCACAGCGTCTGGCTCGCGTGAAGCCCGAGGAAAGCAAAGCCAGCTCATGCTTTGTGCTGTTCTACCACGTTTGTTTGGGTGGGGAGTTTTTCGTAAGACAGACTCTTGCTCGTGGTCGTTAAAAGGTACTGCTTTTGAAGAGAGGCACGTGCTGCTGAAGCAGAGATATGAAATTAAATTCAGTAATTGCAATTTCCTCCCTGCAGAAGCAGTTGCGAGTACCCGAGCTGTTACTCTGATTTAGTGACTAGGAAGCATCTCCGTATTTTTATGGTGTTAATTAAAGGTTACTTCACGTGTCCTTGTGGGAATGGAATCCTGAACTTTCTTGCTAACAAAACAACCAACAAACAGCGACTTGGGTACAAGGAGACTGGAGCTTCCCAGCCGAGAGGAGCTGGCAGCACCGCCGCGGGAGCACTCACCTCATCGAAGACGGCCCTCGTCACGTCCCCGCATCGCAGAGTGTCACTGCTCAGGGACAGCAAGTGCGCGGGATTACACGGAGAGAAGTGCATGCAGCTGACCAGGTAGTTGTGCGGAACGAAGACGTGCGCTCCTCCTTCAGACTGGCAGTCCTGAAAAGCAGCGGAGGGTCAGCGGACACAGACGCGAGTTACTGCAGGTATTTCTAGCAATGACTGCGACTTTCAAAGCCAAGTCTCTGTCCTCCCAGTGCTCTCAGCCTGCTCGGGACACCCGCTCCTGCTCGGAGCTTCCCCTCTGCCTGGAGAGAGAACGCGCTCGCCGGGCTGCTCAGCGCAGCCCGGCCAGGCCGCCCGCCCGCTACCATCTTCACCACGACACAGTTTAGCTCAAAAAAGCACTCAGCGTTTACTCCCAGTTTCCGAACTCTGTTTGCTAGTTGGGAAAAGCTGCGACTTCCTGCTGTGATTTAGGTGCTCTTCTGCCACCGCCGTCACCAGCGCCGCAGCGGGACATCACACCTGGCTCGGTTTTACTGGCAGAAATGGGCCTTCACTGGCAGAAACGGGCCTTCACTGGCAGAAATGGTCCCTCGGTTCCCGCAGTCGAACACCTCGCCGAGGATCCAGCGCGTGCGTACGCCACTCACCTCGCGGTATGCACATGCCAGGCTACTTAGAGCTCAAGCTGAATTATAGTGACCCAAACTGAAGGTACAGCATAACCTCCTCCATCTTCTCTTCTAATTTTGGCATCATTTAAGCTCTGATATTTTAAAACTGAATACATCACTTTGGTACAAGTGCCGGTCCAGCCCACAAAGACTACTCTGCTCCCAAACTTGGCCAAGTCCAACTCACTTCAGGAAAATAAAGAAGGGAGCACAAAAGGGCAAGGAGCAGCCTTAACGATTCCAGGCTTCCCCTGAAACGCCTTCGCAAGGCCACAGAGCCAGCCTGGAGCGCTCGGAGGCCTCAGCCGCCGCGTCACCAGGTCACCTCTTCGACAGGGCTGCGCGGTCCAAGCTTTCCAAGCTGCACGGAGCAGTTTAAACTCCTTTATAACCGAGTAAGAGTCTCGGAGCTGAATTCAGTCGATCAGTTTCCATTTTCCATCAAAGCAGAAACGACTCAAACCCCGAGAGGTCAGCACCATTGCAAAAATCGCAAAGAAAATCTGCGCACGCGTGACCTTCAGGCAGCTGCCTTGGACGACGCGGGCTCCAAGCGGAGGAAGGTTACCGAGGTGCAAGCCCAGGGCACGAGCAAGGATTCTTGCTGCAGGAGTAACTAAGGCAGCTCAAAAACGACGCTGAGACTAACTGCAAAGCCCCCAGAAGCTCTCAAAGCTGCTTTTTGGAGACAATGTCAGTAAATACATGCCAGCATAGACCGGCAGAGCAATTTTCTCTCTGCTGTCTGGAAAGACAGTGAGCCATTGCAGCTACCCAAAACCTGAACAAACTCAAAAACCAAATGCTTGAGCATCCACTTCCCCTCGCCCTCCGAAACCTAGCTGTGGTATTGCTACAAGGGTACTGTAATTAGATCCTCAATCTCTCAACAGGGAATTTAATTTTCACCGTTGCTGATAATATTTTCAGGTAGCGATCCATTTTCTTCCTCTCTCCCCTCAAAACTTACCAGCGCAACCTCCCCTCGCATTAAACCTGGGCTTGCCGAGGACCAGGCAGCTCGGGTGAGCCTCAGCTGAACAGACAGCCCGGAGCCCCCCGCAAGCACGGGCACAGCCCCAAACACCCCGCGCCGAGCCTGACAAGCGATGCTCCAGGCTGCGCCCGCCCTGCACGCGGAGCTCTGCCAGGCGAAGAGCGCACCGACGACTCACCACGTTCCAGAGACCGATCTGCCCGGACTTGTCCCCCGCTGCCACCAAGACGATGCTGTCAGAAGGATGGATGGCCATGGCAGATACGCGGTACTTCACAACCTTTTTAATGTTCTCCTCACTGAGGACCATGCTGTTCAGGCTGTCTTGGTATCTAGACAGCATCAGGAAAACGTTAGCTATTCCGGAGAAGAAAGGAGAACAAGCCGAGACCCAGCTGTTAGCTGCTGGCTTCAGATTACCTTTTCATGTCACACGTGTGCTTTTCTTTAGCATTAGCTTTCATCTACAGAGAGAAAGGAAATATTTATCAGAATTAGATTACTTACAACTCAAGCTCAATTACATTACCCAAAAATAGTTCACGGTAAGTACAGCACCTCGCTTATCCTCATCCACGTAGCCAGTAAGTCCTCTGCCGATTTACTGTTCTCCGTCTGATCTTCCGGAACCATTGGCAAAGGCCCGGCTGGAACCTGAGCCTGGAAAGACACGAGCAACTTTCGTAACTCAGATCAACCCAAACTACAAACCTTTCCACACACCAGACAGCCCGAGAACACACCTGTGACAACACAAGAAATGAACACAAAAACAACAACAACAACAACAAGTTTGTATCAAATCTCATTAAAAATATAAATAGAAATTTACTAAAGACAACAGCGAAGACCAATAGCTACCGCATGCTCTCTCCTCTCCTTTCTGATGCTCCAGCAAGGCTGATCTTCAAGAACTGTATTAGAGATTTAGCTTTATTCTGCAGCACCACGGAAGATTTAAATCCCCATCTCTCAAAGCAATAGAATTTTTACGTGTTGCTATATAACTACTTCAAAAAGGTAGTAAATACTTCAAAGGAAAATAAACTAGATCAAAAGTTACTGTGAAATAACATTAAAACAGAGCATTAAAACTGTGAATTTAAAGCCGCTCAGATCTAAGGGCTGTTGAAAAACGCGTGACGTTTGACCTCAGGACCCTTCCGACCATCCAGACCTGCACTACCTCACCACCCCGAGCCACCCAACAGCAGCGAACCTTCCGAGCGGGCACGGGCAGCCTGCGCCTCAGGATGCTGGAGGGTGAAAGAATTTACCTTTCGCTGTCACCACTGTAATGGGACCTCCCCAAATGTCTCCAGGTTTTACAGTAAGCTCAGCCATGACATTATCAGTCAGCTTCACCAGCACCATTTTTATAAAGCTTCTGTCCATACACGCCCACCCACACTTCCTCTGACCCTGCCCCATCTCACATATTCCTCTGCTTCCGGCGGGGCAGCCATCGCCGGCATCGGAATTCCTGACGGCTCGACTCTCTGCAAGCGCCGAGATCTTCGAAGGACTCCTTCATCTTCTGCCTTTTTCGGCTTAGGTCTAGAACAACCACAACATTTCAGAATTACCGACGCAGTTAAGTAACAGAAGTCCTCTGCATCTGAGCAGGAGATGGCAGAGAGGGCTCAGCCGCGCGGCTCCGACAGCCCAGCCCGGCCCGGCCGCCC